CCCAACTGCACGACCCCCTCCCATACAGGAGACCGCCCTCCGTCAGGCTCATCCCCTAACCGAGCTAATAAGCAACCCCAAAGAGACGTCGAGCGGTGAATTTTATATATATATATATATATGTATATATATATATATATATATATATAAAATTCGCATCATATATTATTTATGTAAATATTATAATATATAATATAATATATAATACATAACTCGCGTATATATGAATCATGGAAAAAAAAAATAACGCAGTAAAAATGATATACCTGTTTTTATCGATAATTATTTTTTGGCATATACAATGCGTATTTTAGTCCATTAATAAACTCGCGAAAAGGGAATAAGAACCATGCGAATTAATTACGACCGACGCAATGGGAGCTTTCAATCGTAAAATTAAGTCTTATCTATTAATTAACTCACTGGAATTTACTACGGCAATTACGTTTACACAAAATGGATCCTCATACTTCAATTTTAATTATCATGTAACTATTAATTTTATTATCATGTTGCTTTCTGTTATTCGCCATTTTTATTCTCTCTATTCTTTATTATAATATGTTAAAAAATGTTGTATAAAATATGCTTTAAGGATTTTAAGCGAAGGCATCAAGAGTGTGTAAAATACTTTCATCCCACTTTCATTTTCCAAAATGAGACAAATATGACTATGTTTCACTCGACGATTACATATGATGTACAAGTATTCGCTGTGACATTACTTTCACTCGGATCCGTAGATTCATCAGATGCCGTGAATGCGCGTGTCCCACTTGGAGCGATTCTCTTGTCCGGCCATCCGAAAAATTCACTAAATAAAACGAGCGATATAACGGTAACTAATATATGGTAAAAATATTTCGTCACGAAAGGCACGTATTCGGAGAACATTTTATGCACGACGAGACGAAGGGAACCTTTCTCTCTCTTGCGCGCTCGGCTTTTTACTCACTACTGATCCGGATCGGAACGATTTTCACACTCAACCGAGCTATCAAGGTTACAGATATAAGATATCTAAGAGCGATATCGCGAACATTCCAATAATAAAAAAATTGTTGAAGCATGTAATCTCCTGCGTGTATATTCAAATAATCATTTTAGACACTTCTCGCAATACAACTTGTTAAAGAAGCGCGTTAAATTGATGCGTCAGTTGTTTTGAGTCATCAATGCGTGAACCTTTTAATGAAATTGTAAACGAATATATGCATTCAATTGCGTACGTGTCAAAATTTTTGCATCTGTAGAATTTAAAATTTTATACACTAAACGTCCCAGCTTATTTCCTATTTTTATCTTTTTCGTGTTTTCAAGGTTGTAATTAACTAAATGGTATTATCGCGTGTGTTGTTTTAACGGTTTACATTCAACATTGTTACGAAATTTTTATTATGGAATGACTGATCAATAAGAATGTGATTGTATGTATTTTATTTTTGTTGTTTTAAAATAATTTGTTTCTTTTAAATAAAAAAAAATTCTGAAAGAGAACAGCCAGTTTTTCTAGAATATTTGGAAATGATAAATTCTTGTAATTTTCTAATTATCCCAGTTACATTAGTCCGATAACAATTATCTCGGATCGTTAAAATTTTTAAATTACCTAAACGCATTTTGTTTGCATTTTAAATATGTTTTCTTCGTTATGCCACCATATATGATAATCGAGAGTAAGCGAAACATTCCTAGTCGGTTCTTTCTTGGAAATTTCGAATAATTTTACATCTTTGCTTTATACATTTACAAGTTACGCAACATCAATAGAACCGAAAAAAATAGAAAGAGTCTAATTTAAACTCTTTTATATAAATTATTATGAAATATATATATATTTTATACACATAAAAAATCCACATTTATTTTTTGTATTGGCAGAAAACTTTCGCAAGAAAAAATGTTTCAAAAGAGAAAGAGAGAGAATAATATTACACTATTTTAATTTATATAACTATTTATTTTCTTCTTGTATATAGTTTTTATATAATACCTTTCGTCTTTCTCTTTGCCTGACTATTTGCAAAATTATTTAATTAATTTTTTAATTCATGTACAAATGATAACGTAAATTTTCACTCGCATTTTATGATCCGAATATAATGCAACGTGCGTCGTGCTGACCTTGATTATCAATAAGGAAAAATCGATACGCAGAATTAAGGAGAACGCAGTACACCACAATCCCCCTTCCTCTCGATATAAAATTATAGAAGATATTCCGACTGTGTGTATTCGCGCGTGTCGTCTTCTCGATCAAAAGGAATAATACAATACTAAAAGCTGCCTCCGACACTTCGAGACTAGTTCGTGTGAGACATAAAAAAAAGCAATGATAAGAAATTGTACAAGATTCTCCACAGCAGGACTGTGATATCATGCACCCGACATAGGGGTTATATATTTAAAGAAAAAAAATTCCTCTACATTTTTATATAATTAAATTATTTTATTTACATTGTAATTTAATTGTAATGTATGTCTAATTTTTCTAGCGAATCTTTCCAGCATTGTTATCGATTACGTTATTAAATATTCAATATAGAAGACCGCATTTAGCTCGAAAATGGCTGCCCATATTCGCGCATGAACCACGAAAATTTCGTATTAAATATTAAAACAACACTAGTTAGAATCGATTCCTTTCTCATTTAATTGCAGCTTAAAAATCTCCCCGTTTTTCCAATTCAAACCCTTAAAAAAAAAAAAAAAAAGAGGCAATCGAATTGAATGCGATATTTATCAAGGTACACGAATACAATATAAAAATACGTCTTAAAATTTTATATCAAATATGATACGCTTATTTTACGACAAGCTTTTTATACGAAACGTTTATTACACGCGTCTCGCACAGTGAATTCACGTGCAATGAAATTCGTACAGCAAAATCATTCTTGAAGACGATTCAGGATTGATCGATCGATCCGTAAATCGCGCGATACGGACCTGAGAGCGGCCTGCGCGCGCGACCGCTAATGGAAGTGAAGCGTGCGCGGCGCGTGGGGAGAGGAAAGCGCGCGGCGGTCAATGAGTGGGGGAGACGTCAGACGTATTGTTCGGAGAGCGCAGTAGCGAAAGCGTGCACGAATAACACGGACGCGTCCGTCCAGGCGCCGCGATATGTGCGGGCGTGTATGCGAGACGATTATGTGAAAATCGCGGCGCGCGACAGCCGACGTTACACGTTACGATATACACACGAGGGGGATCGCGAGCTTGTCATAATATCGCGTGGACACTAGTAAAGTTCTGTGTCGCATGCAACTGCACCTTCCGTACGCGTGAATCGCTGCTTCTCTACGTCGTTATTAACGTGCGGTATTCTTCGCACGAACACGTACATACGCATACGTACGTACGTGTATTCGCACGTACACTAGTGTACGAGGGACGTTTTCCAAGTACGCGAATGGGCGTATTACCGTGTTACCGCAAAATAATACGTCTCGATTGAGGGTATATCGGAGTTGGTTACCGGTGCCGATAGTGCGCGCGACGTCCAGCAAAAGGAACGGCGATAACACGGTGACAAGTGCGCCGCGAAAGGGACAGAGACGCATATAGAGTGGACGGAGGGAATGGAGAACGCCATGCAGCCGCCGCTTCCACCGCCACCCCCACCCGCTTGCGACATGCCACAGAGCAGCAGCACGGAACAGACGGTCACCCACGAGTTGACATTCGGTACGTCTAATCTGTCAATGCGACGTATCTTTAAAGGTCCTAGATTTTATCTGTCGCATATTATTGATCGAGACCGATGCGATTTCGCCGAGCTCGCGAATCTCGCCTTTGACAGATGAAAATGATTTTTTATATTCAATAACGCGTGAAAATTGTACTCGTCGAAATTACGATCGGTTTCGATTCTCGATACAAAATATATTATTCATACGACGTTATCACCTCCCCCTTCCCTCTCCCCTCTCCCCTCTCTTCTCTCCCCTCCCCTCCCCGATATCGCAATCCAAACACTTGGACGTTACTGACACGATACCTATACATACAACGCACTCCGAAAACGTATTACGCAACTCGTTGACACGCGGTCGCATTGTATTTCTGCTTTCGTAGAGTTATTATAGAGAGATTATGCGTAAAAAAAAAAAAATATATATCAAATGTCAGTGTTATATATAGTGTTTAAACTGACAGCAGCGCCATCAATATTGCGCCGCTGTCACGCGACGCGATATGGTGTAATGTAAAATTATCTTACGATTTGACGAAGAGAGAGAGAGGTTCAATTTGTGCGTCGATGTTGCGAGAAAATCGTTTAGATATAATTTAAGCAAATCTCGTTGTTTTTCCGGCAATGATATCATATGCACGTCTCGTGTCGGTCTGTGCTGCGTAAATCGACTCTTT